CGGCCTCCTGCGCGTCGACCCTGCCCGCGCGGAACGGCATCCGCGCGCCGCCGCAGCCGGCGTTGGCGACGACCACGCTCATCGCCAGGAGGTCCGCGGCGGAGGCCCGCGCGGAGTAGAGGTTCGCGAAGAAGCTGAAGGTGTTGTTGAAAGCCGCGCCGCCGTTCTCGGCGCGGTGGACCTCGAACCAGATGGAGCCGTCGAGGCCGCCCTCGCCCGCGGCAGCGTTCGTCGTGGCGACGTCGTGGAACGCGGTCCGGATCCACTCCGCGGCGAACTGGCGGCCGGCGATGTTGCCTCCGAAGGAGCAGGGAGTTACGCCTGTGAAGAATGTTAGACGCGGGTTTCGGGGCTCTCTCTCTGAGCTTGGAGTGGTCTTACCATCGACGAAGCCTCGACTGCGGTAGCCCGTCTGCAAGGAGAGAATGTCCTCAATCTCGTCGTACTGGGAAGGCCACACGTATGCAGCTTCCGCCGAGCGCATCAACGCCACGGCGCCGGCGATGACGACTTTGGCCTTCATCGCTTCGAACTCAAGGAGAACACTCTCCAAACGAAAGTCAGATCAGAACGAGCGGGCGGGGGGAGGTGTGAGTTTCTCGTGCTGCCAAGCAGTCGCGCGAACGGCAGCAGCCGTGCTTTTAATATCCAACATCGTATTGGATCCCTCTTTTATTTTTTTCTCCTTCTCTTTTGGCGCGTCGTCCAAGGACGGATTGCTTTATTGACTCCATAGCCCATAGCGGCGGAGCGGGTATTGTCTTGCCAAATATGCAGAGGAAAGGGAAAAGCCCCAGACCGCCAAGCGTTCAAGATGGATGTGCTGCATCGGGTCCCTGGCCCAATGGAGCATCTCTGCCCGGCTGCGTCGTGGATCGCGGAACGGGCAGACGATGCGGTTGCGACTTTCTTCCCGCTTCCCGCATCCCCTCTCCTGCAGGGACTCAGGGACAAGGCATGAATGACCTCGTTATTTCGGACGATTCCGTTCGGCGTTGGCCCAGAAGAATCGAGGTCGGATCAAGATCAATGTTTTTTCCTTGAGCTAAAAATGATGACAACAGTTGGCAGACCCGCGCGGAATACCCGACGGGTGATTATCAGATGTGAAAAAGTTATCTGATGGAACAGGGGTCTAAATTAACGGCGGGGTTGTGGAGAGCCGCGAGTCGAGGGCTGAAGACGATGACGGATTGGGTGTGGTTCGGTGGAATAAGTTGGTCAATATCGTTCATCCCATGTCTCGTCGTTCTTGGGCCGCCTATGCGCTGTCCCAGCGTTCTCTTATCCACAGGGAAATGCTGGATGTTCTTGCAGTATGCTGTGTTTGTTTTGGACGATTACAAGATAGCAGGCAGGTAAGGCAAATTGATGTAAGAAATTGTTTATTAATCTCTAGTTAAACCAATGATGAAGGGTTGGGGTTACAGTACCCGGCCTCTTGCCCCGAACGCCCGCTCAATCCATGATGCTTGTTACAAAAGAAACATTATTAATTATTAGTGGGAGTCCCAGCCAACAGCCGTTCATATCATTAAGCTCATGCCGTCTTGTCAATCAACTTCTTCTCAAGCCAAGCTGCGAACGCAACTGCATTCGAGTCCACATATCGCTGGAAGAAGTCGGCCACCACGATGACACCAGGCAGGAAGAAGCAACTCGCCCAGAATACGCTCCAGAAGTACTGCCAAGACGTGGCGACTCCGGTGATGGACGTCATGAACTGCCAAGTGTGCCATCCATACATCCACAACATCGAGTTGTGGACCAGATATAACATGAATGAGATGCGACCGAGGTACTGTATCAACGGTCTGTTGAACATGCGCTGCAAGGAAGGGACCCTGTCGATGGTGAAGATGAGGAGGATGGCGCCAAGTGGAATCCAGAGGGAATCCCCGTTCTTATATTGCTTGGGGGTGATGGCAGTCAGAGCCCTGTAGCCCGGGGTTGCGGCAGCATCGTTGACCAAGTGCGGGTACGAGAGCAACCACAGCGAGAAGATGAATGCGGCGATGCCAATGACTTTCTTGAACTTTGGCAGGGAGGGCGAGGATGAGAGACTGTCGCGGCGGGACTGTATAGAGCTCCTGAAGTTGGAAAAGGTCGGCGAGCCGGCGATCATGGACTGGAAGCGAGCGAAACTGTCCCGACGCAAGCTGTTTGTCCATCTGGGGAGGGCGTTCCAACCGCCTTCACCTTCGTGAAATTCACCCGACGCCGGTTGGAAGTGGAAGTGAAGATCCGCAAGGAGAAGTCCGGCGAAGAACAGGAAGAACTCCCACATATTGAACCAAAGGGTGTAGCAGCTGACGAAAACATGGAAGAAGAGCCGGACGCCGGGGCGTAGTCTGGAGAAGGCGACGTGGGCGAGGAAGATGACCATTGAGCAGTCAAACTCGATGGGTATAGTCCAGAGAGCGGCGTCGTACGGAAAGTTGTTTCCCCTCCGAGTGTTGCGCGACACAGGGTCGGCGAATCCAACGATCTTAATGAACCAATGCTCTAGCTGACCATACAAAGTCCCGGCCACAGGCGGCCTCAACCTCGGGAAGATGAGTGTCTTCGGCCTCGCTCCATGCTGAAACCAGCCCGCGTATGTCATGAGGGCAATGACGAGCGTTGTGACCGCAGGAGAGGCGAAGATTCTGATGTATCGGCGGAAGGCAGAGGAGGCCGCGGCGATGGCGAAGTCGGCCCTTCGGTTCTGAGATAGAAGTTTCATGGGCTTGTAGCTGAGGGCAAAGCCAGAGATGACGAAGAAAACGCACACGGCCCAATATCCAGACACAGCCAAGCGTATGATGGGTAGTTGGATGAACATAGGCTTATCATCGGACAGGTACCCCTTGTGCAGTTCGATGGGGTAAACGACGAGTGACCAATGGTGGCAGACGACCACGAAGGACGCTATGCCTCGAAGACCATCTGTAGATGTTGTTAGCGATGCTTTTTGAGACGAGTCCGATTAGATCTTTACCGAGCCATGCCGTCGGATGAAGTTGTTTTGGTGGTTTGGTTGGATCTGTAGGGTGCAGGAAGCTCGGGACGAAGCACCAAAGCAAGGCCTTTGGATAGTGAATCCAAAATGGCAGTGGCCGAGAACGGACCGTGGGAAGTCGAAGACTGTCTCCTACGACAGGATTGTCATCTCTCAAGGGGATTTCCTCCTCGACCTCTACTGCCTGCTGGTCTTTCTCGTCAAGTTGGTCGGCAGTCATCTCGTCGGGGGCTACTGAGACGTATGGCGTTCGAGCCTGGGCCTCTACCATGTTGCTGTCTTCATATCCAGTCATGGTCGTTGATTGTCCTGGGGACCACCTGTGTTCCTGTTGAGGTAACAAGTCTCGGCCGGAAAAGTACTTGGGATCTTTGGAGGATGTCTGAAGGCCGGTCCGAGAGTCATCTTATACAGCTCGTTGGAAAATGACATAAGTTATATGCTTCCCTCGCATCCAGTCTCCATCCGATCAACCCGCAATGGGTAATGAAAGCCATCGAAGAAAAGCAAGCTCCTCCATTGGCTCATCTGTCACAGAAAGTCCGCTGCCGCCTGCATCCGAGCAAAACAGCCAAGCGTATGAATCTAGACTCTTGACGATGGAGATAGATCGGCCTCCATGAGATCTATTCCGTCAGTCAAGCTGAGTGACGCCACACGCGGCTGGCAGTGACAGTCTCCCGTTGCACCCTAGTTCGTCATTGCTGCGTTACTACGGACAAGCTAGATGCATCGTTGTAGCCCTCATCTATGATGCACATCGTCGGCCCGAGCTGGTCGAGATCCGAGACGGCCAGACCTCACAAATTGAGGACGTTTGCGGGTCACGAAGCATTCGCCGCTTTGGCAGCATGATGTCGCCCATTCAGAGAGCTCGTCTGCTCAAACCTGCCGCATTCGACGAGATGTCTCACTCCGCTAGATCTTAACGGTTGAGAGTGGCGGCGATAATTGGAGGCTTCGGTTGTGTAACCGTAGTCACTGCTTAAATCGAGATGCTTTGGGCTTAAAACAGAGCCGCAATGGGTCCGGATCGTCGTTATGGCCGCAACTAACACCGATCTCAGCGACTTTCTCCAGAAACGGCAAGATGCAAATGACGCTTCAATTACGCCCGTGATCTTGCCTACCGACCTGCCCACTTCCACGATGCAGCTGAGATGAGTTTTCCAAAGATTGCTCTACTCTGAGGAGGACCTTGACATCGGTGTGGCACACACCAGCAAAGCTGGGAAGAGGATGGCGGCATACACTTTGGAAGACGCCAAGACAATGATTCCTCTCCATCCGCAACCGGACGCATCCACCACCCTCGCATCGCTGTCGTGGTGTGAATGGATTCGAAAGTAGTCCATCCAACTTGGTCTGATGTCGCTGTAGCTAGACGGCCTGAGTGAGGCGTCGTCAAGTCCAAAATTCGCAATACATTGTGCGAGGCTTCTTTCTGTCTCACAACCATCCGTCAAGCACGCGGATGGCTGTTGACGATCCATCACTATTCTCAACACAATGACTGGCCTGGAGGATCCTCATCCATTCATGAAATTTATGAGAAAGTTTGTCGCGCCTCTTAGCAAAGCGACTAATTGCCACAGAGAGGCCAGATTGCATGAATTTTGGGAGATGATGCCGTCAAAATCTGTAGTTTTCACACAGTTGCGGGCGGCGATAAGATTGCACAGCGGCTTATCTCCGCGTACCTACTTATTTTCGAATTTGACTGTGTTAGTCATAGGCAACTTGGCCGAGCGGTCTAAGGCGCCAGACTCAAGCGATTAGCTTGATCCTCCCAGAGGATTAGCATTCTGGTCTCGAAAGAGGCGTGAGTTCGAATCTCACAGTTGTCATTTTTGTCCTTTGATCAGGTAACTAGCATTTCTTTTTAGTGTTTTCTATCTAATTTCTACAAGCCACAATTTGTATCGTTAGTTACCACCGCACAGAGTTTTGGTCTAAAAGAACATGCGGCCATAACTTAAGATAAGGGGGAGGAGAGTACTTAGCTAGCAGCACTCACAGGCAAGCAAACCAAACGAGACTCAACTGAAGGTTCTGCAGCTGAGCATCCCTCAACGAATGATTCTTGGCGACTCTTTCCGGTATCAACGAGCAGTTGTGGGGCTCCTCCTATGTGGGTGGCCCTGTTAAACTCAGCGACGACAGCCTAAACTTATGCGATCGATCCGTTCCCCCACGAAGGTTAAGACGGAAAGTCGTCAAATGTCTCAGATCACCAATCGTGGTGAACACAGCGGGGTCTCACTTGAATACGGCTGTGTGTGTGTGGCTTTGTCGGGCCGTCCGGTAGTGACTCAATTACCTCACGGAGATATCAGATGTCTCACGCACGGTATCTTGGTGTAGTCCCCCGAATTCTTTTCCGGTGCGAAGTGATTATCGCCTGAGAAACCTCCTTCCCGAGCTGAGCTTTTTGCGAGCACTCATGGTTCACATTGCTGTCTTTTTCGGTTGGTAAAGACCACTGAATGCACTGACAGTCCCTTATGGTGTGTCCCTCGTCAAAGCATAAAGCCTCCGACCTCAATCGTACGTACAATTTGATCACAGACTCAACGATTTGTAAAGCGAATGAATACCTTACACTATGAGATCTTACTTGAAAGGAGGGTAAGGGTTGCTAGGTCCAGACCATATGGAAGTAAACCTCCGGCTGAGAAGGGCGAGAATACCCCTGGCGATCTGATTGCCTCTTTAAATATAAGCATTCAGGATTTCAGCAGCCACTGCTGAATTTACGGATGCGGTGAATCCCAAGGAGAGTCAAGCCTAGACCAAGCTGGAAACTCCCCTGGTCTGTTGAAGGGGAGGAGCGGGAATCGAGACATTAAAGCCTGCTTCGGAGGTCACTAACGTTCTGAACTCACGGAGCTTGGGCAGTTCCCCTTCAAGGGCCTTGGGTTTCCCGAAGCTCTTCAAGAAGCCTCAGACTTTTTCAGCCGGTTCTTAGCTGGCCAGTCACTCTAGATACTGGCTTTCCAGGAGGTCGTAGAAAACGTTCTCTGTTGGTATTCGGAAGGGTCATTTGACGATTTGCATCAGCATCGAGGGCTTTGACACTATCTCAAGGTCTGTTTGTGGTTCCCCATAAATTAATACAGTAGCACAGCACATCTCATTTTTGATCTCATTCTCTGCGCCGTTCTCTGCACTCGATGTCCCTCTAGCATTCTCTCAAACCTCGGCAGCTTCCAACTCAACAAGATTCCACCGCACTATTCAAGGAATTGCCCCTAGCTAACGCCAGCAATGCGCACTCACTCGTTTCGATTCACGGTCTTTCTTTCCCGGATATTGATGCCAACGCATGCGACCCGTTGAGGCACTCGTCCCCGGCCCGGTAGTGGGTTCCTGAGCCCTCGAGCCCGCTCCGGAGAGCATCCACATCCACAAATGCGGACACCAACCCGGTCGGTTAGCTCAGTTGGTTAGAGCGTGGTACTAATATGTTATCTGACATGTTCAGTTATGCCAAGGTCGGGAGTTCAAGCCTCCCACTGATCATCCTCTTTTGCCTTGTAAGCTTAATAGTACACCTATTTTTGCCCTTCTGCAGGTTGCATTCGACATGAGGGAACGTTCCTTTACTAAGACGACATTTTACTTGACCGAATAAGATCACTAGGTAGTGAGTCATAGTAAGATATTCACTTACCTATGCAATATATATGACAGGGCGTAGAAGTCTAGAATGTCAGTGCTGTTGCTTATCTCGTTCTTTGGTGCCCATCTCTCTCATAGTGATAGTAAGCAATCAACCTCCCCGGCCTCAAGCTATTTATTGATCCTACGTTGAGCCCCGAAAGAGAGAAGCATCTTGCTTGGGTCCGGCGTTTAGCAGATCATAATGACCTGAAGTGCCCAAATGGAACTCATGTCAAGTCATTCGTGTTGCCGTCACTGATATTGATAGAAAAGTCTCCATGTTGGTTGGCAATCTGAACCTCAAACGCACGTAAGACCAAACGTGTTACTCAACACCACATACTCAATCAGTCCCGGTCTTCTTGTCGATCGAACGAACAGACATGATGGCAGGGAAGTTAAATATGAGCTCGACTAGCATGCAATACAGATCTGCCGATTAAGTATGACCATAGTGATGAGGTAGCTTGCCATACGCAAGATCCAGCCATCAATATACAGACTGAAAGAAAGAAACTGTTGCGTGTGCCTCTCCATGGTTGACCAAGCTAGGACCGCACTCGTCATTGAAGATAAAGTCATGTTGTTTGTGTATTACACTCGCAATTCCGCGTGGTGCCATGGTGCTGGGCACTGTCTTACCTGAGGTGTAAATTGAAACTTGTATTGGACACATACGAAAGCCTGGCGAATAGACCGGACCAACTCGAGGGTAGATTGACCTCTCATATGAACGTCCAAGGAGCACACGTTGTTGTGTCGATGGCGATCTCTTCACTGTGATCCCATGATAGACGATATGCGCCGCGTGAGAATTCATTAGTACAGCTTTCGGCTGCTTTCAGGATGAGATCTATTTCCCATGACCAATCAACATAGCTTATTCTGTTGATGTATCTCCGCATGTGAGTATCTGCCTGTTGCACTTCGCCTTGGTTATTACTAGTGCTTAGAATGGCATTCTGCTGCCCCAGCCTCACGGAGAAACTTGGAACAGGGAACCACGCATATCGAGGAGCGATGGCATGTGTCATGGAGTCCCGATCAAATAAAAGGAGCACTGGTCACATGACTGTGACGACTGAGAATAAAGACATGGCCTGATATCCAAACCGGCACAATGACCTCGTCCACGATGAACAGCAACATCTTTTCTCATACGAGACTAACAGCAATGCGAGCACGTTGGACGCGTGTGCAATCCCGATCTTGTCTAGGAACGCCAAACTTCACTCAATGACTCCAAATGAGGCATTGAGCTTGTAAGCTGGCTTCAAACGAAGCCATCATGATGCAGATTCCTCTCATAGCTTACTTGTCATTGCTCAACATCGTTACGTCATAGGTACCATCACAACACCCCTCAAGAAGCCTCACAGGCAAGAGGTCATTCTATGAGCCCGGCCCCGTAAACGACCGTCGTTGCAAAGCACTCAAACAACAATCGCCATTCCAGATGCGAACATACCATGGCACCACCAGCACACAACCCCATCCCTGACGATCGCCAGCTACTTCCTCACGCCAACGGCTTGATACCAACCCAAACCTGCAACCAACACCACAAGCCGCCTGAAACCACGCGGCGCCCCTGCACGTAGCATATCACACAGCAGCAAACCGACCTCAGGTCGCCGACCTGAGCCCAACGGCCTCTTCCCCCCGGCGCCACAATGCAGCCAAAGTCAGGAAACGGGACCCAGGACGCAACCCTCTCGCGATGGTCCCGCCCCGAAAGCCTCCTGCGGGATCTGGGACGGAAGACCGGCGCGGTCCCGAACTTGGACAGCCAACTAGGCGAGGCTTAGGGGGCAAGAGGCAGAAAAAAAAAAAAAAGCAAAGTTTGCTTCTCGGCAGGAGTTTCAACACTGCAAGTCATCCACCAAACGTCCCTCTAAAACAAGCCACGCCGATTTAGAACGGACGTGTTCTGGAGGGAAAGCTCTCCGGGCGATCCAATCCGAACCTCCGGCCGCCAACGCCGCTCCGGTAGTCAAACTCACTAAAGCACACACGCTCTGAGTAGGGCTCTCTCACACATCTGCGCCAAACTGGCGCGCGCCCGTCAGCAGCAACTAACTGGACAGCGCCGTTCTCCGGGGAAGCGCAATCGCGCACCCCCCAAGGCGTCTTACCGCTGATTCCAGCCGCGGCATTACAAATTCCAGACTCAGCCGGAACGCGAGCCCGCTCGCGCCCGCAGGAGAGCCCAGCCCACACGCGAGCGGAGACGGAGGAGGAGGGGAGGCGGGATGTCATCGTCGTCGTAGTCGGTCGGAGCAAACACCCTCGCTTGAGAGGCCTGGTGGCGTGGCATCGGGGCACGTGCTCTGGGCTGACAAGAAGCTTGCGATGGACTGACAGCAAGCGTTCAAGTTCAATAACTTGCTAGTCTGGCGAACAGACTCACTGTGGGCGATCCGCCGTCTGGACCCTCAAAGTTGCCCCCATCCCCTCGAGGATCCCCTGGCTTGTCAACATCGCGACAGTGCCATCCGGCATGGTGACACGGACGCTTCGTCGAGTCAAGCAGGGCCACGACGGCTTTGACTTGTGCGGATCGGATCCCCGAGCGCGCTGCCATCTGTCAAACCCCTCTTTGTTGATTGACTCTAAAGAGGTCAAAGCAACTGCGAGACATTCTTAGCGAGAAAAGAAACGACAGACACACACATCACTGGGGGGTATTGGGAAAAAAAAAAAATACCAAAAAAGTCGGTGTCATGGACGAACCGTCTCGCTAGAAAGAGCGGTCGCGAGAGTGCATGGGACGCCGTGCCGGGCGGAAGAGGTGTATGTGTGTGTGACCTGTCGGCGACCGAGGCCTGGAGAAGCAATGGGTTGCTGCACCCTGAGGATATCGGTCGGACTCGCTGCGATGCCTTCGCGGTCGACTCATCATGCGGAACTTCTTTCCCGCACCCGGTTCTCCATTCCGCATTTCATGCGTGGATCAAGTGATCAAAGTCGAGGTAGCAGCCAGACTGGCCAGATGCCACCCATGGGGCAATGGCTAACTGGGCCGGCAGAAAGGAAGACCGCCATTTTGCAAAGGAAAAGATCGACGAGAGCAGTCGGCGAACGCGTCGGCAGTCGAATTTTGATATTCAGAGGCTAGAACCTCTTCAAGGATAGGTTTGGCAGACAAATGTTCTTTTCTTCCCCGGGGTCAGTAGCGTGTAAC